TATGGCAGACAGACACCTCACTGGCTTTACTTCCAACTCCCGCCTACACTGTGGTGTATTTTCTTTACTGCTATCCTCGTTCTTGAGGTCATTGAAAAATGGCCCTTTCTTTCATAATGGGAGGATAGGTTATCTTTTGGTAGGTAGTGGCATTCAATCAGGGACCAAAATAATTTACTTCAAATACCCAATTCTGTCCAACGTGCACTAGAAGAGAGGTTGGCCAACGATATCTGCAAATCAAATCCAGCCCACCGCCTGCTTTTATCTGGTCCACAAGCTAATGGTATTCACATTAATAAAAGGCTGGGGCGGAGCGGGGGAAGAGTATTTCATGACACGTAAGAATCGTATGCAATTCAAATTTCAGTGTCCATGAATAAAGTTTTATTGTAACACAGCCAAGCTTGTTCGTTTACATAGTGTCTATGACTGCTCCCAGGCTACAAAGGCAGAGGTGAAGGATTGTGACAGAGACCATCTGTGGCATTCTCATCACTACACACTGCCGTTCAACACACTCCAAATCTCAATGATGCACTTAGAATTCAACAGCATTTCAAGTGCCACACAAATTGTCACACAGACATTTTTATTATTTCTTATTATTAGTGCATATTAATCATGTAAAAAAAAAGGAAAGGAAAGCGAACTTTAAGTGTAGCACTTTTAAGGCACAGTGGACTGTGATTATCTGTCATACAATTACATGGCAAAGCATCCTGTTTATTATGCAATGACACTTGAGCTGTGTGAAAAGAATACAATTTATTGTGACATTACCAGACTAAGCGCTCATCACAGTATCCCCAGCTTACAGGAAAGCAACAGTCAGAAGAGAAAACTTACAACAGAGGATCTCATCACAACGGGAGAATTCTTTCACACATTCGAAAAAATGAGAACAAGGGGGCGACAAACCAGTTACTTCCCACGGGGCTCACTGTTAGCCAAGCAGAGCTATTTACGGATGGTGAGTTCAGGTTAATCGTATTGGATTCCAGCAGCCAGAAGGCACGCGCAGAGAAAATAAATTTGTCGAAGGCTAGCTTTTTAGGAAGGACAGGTGCTTGAAGCCTCAAAGACACCAACAGGCAACTAAAAAGCAAGGCAAATGATTTCAAGCAGCTCTCCTTAGCTTGTGATGAGCCAACAGACGTTAGCAATACTGCCCAGTTTTTGTTTACTAGAGAAGTCAGTGCTGAGCTTGAAGTGACTCAAGAATTAGTCTTTAGGAAGAGCCTCTCTAGAACAACCGTTTTAAAGAATATCTTTGAGGAACTTGGGAAAACACCAACTCAGTGCAGAATCAAGTGGACTTTGCTAAGATGTGTTGCAACAGAGGGTGGTAAAAATGTGGGCAGCAGAGACAGGTGTACCAGACAAATCCACAAAACTTGTCAACATATAAGATGCTTAAAGTCAGTGTTTATACTTTGTACCACTTGTCAGCAGGGGTTTTGTGGACTATACCTGAATCTGTCAGGTTACTGAACCAGTAGTCAGTGGTGTATTTCATTCACCCTTGTGGCCTTAGCCACCATCGCTTCCATGAAGTCGTACCAGAAACAGAAACTGAGGAACCTGATTGGCCCAGTCGTACAGCAGTTTGATGACAGCAGTAAAGTGTTACGGCGATTTATTTCAGCTCAGGACCAAGACTGCAAACTTGCTGAATGAGAATCACCTCTGCCTATTATAGATGAACCCTGAATTCTGCCTGTGCTGCAGATCTGATCATGCTTCTTAAAACTACAAGGCAGAACAGCACTTCTATGGGAAACTTACACTGCGGCAAAGTCAATATGGTGACAACTCGTGTTTAAATCATGAGTGATGTCAAGCTGCTTTATATAATTTCCCACATGGTCAGATTCAAAGGGAACAGGAGTTCCATTCCCATACTAATTTGTAGTGTATCCACTTTCCAAACCGAACCACAGTTCTGGCGGGACTTCTGGATCTCAAAATCCATGTAACTGTACGACTGAAGAACACTTACTTGACCTTCAGTTGGAAGTGACTGTACCTGCAAAGGAATGATCTACCAAAGGCCAAATATCAAGAGGGGAATCTAATGAAGTTCTGTAAGTACCTTCCAAGTGATAAATACACTCAATGAAAATCATACATGTGAGAACTGGTAACAGTATTTGATAGTGTCTATCTGCGGGAAGAAATTTTCAAAGAGGAAATATGGAAAGTCACATTACCAATCAGTATTTAACAGACGAATATTTGCCATTGATTTCAAGCCCCAGGTAAGTGAAATAGTATTCCCTCAAAATAATTCAATTCTTACCATTACTAGACTTAGATTTTTTTAAATTGTACTCAGGCATTAATATATAATTTGGATTCCATTAATAAAAAATTAGTGGAAATCTGTTTTCTTTCTAGTTACACAAGTGTTTATGAGTCTCAATTTTGCCTCTTGGCCCACAAAAAGTTTGCCAACTCTCGCTGCAGACGAGTACAGGTGTGTTTTTACATTTAAATACAATTGCAATACAATGAACCTTCCTCTGAACAACTGGTCTTTCTAGCAAAAGCATTTTCATATCCCAGTAATACTACCGGATGATACCTACTTCTTTCCTTGGTTATGATCATGTATTCTCATTAAGTCAATTTCCTAAGAAAATAACATGTGAGTCTGTATAAGATTTAGGCAGAGAAGAAACTAGTTATCCTGAACATCCACAAAGCTCTGTAACTCCACTTACTTGTAATGCTGCAGGGAAAAAGCAGCTTTTTACTCTACTAATCCAGCTCTATCACCAGCACCTTTCACGCTCGACAAAAACAAAAGCACGCCAAAGATACTGGGGACCGCCGTCTTTACCTGAGTCTAGAACATTTTTTCAAATCTTTTTACTTACTATGCATCATTTCTAAGAACATATTCAGATTAGTAGAAGTCCAGTAACAAGAACGTTTCCGAATTCAAAATGGTTAGGTTTGCCTTTCGCCTCTCCCGTTTTTCTCATCAGGACAGTGGCTGCCTGTGGGTTTTGCCTCAGTGGTGCTGGTTTGCTCTGACTTCTGGTACTAAGGCCCTTGCTTCCTCTTGGCTAAAACCCCCTGCACCTCACCTCTCAGGCCAGTGTGTCCTCTGAAGGTGGGCAAACAGCCTTCCCTTGGCCGCAGTAATTGGCTCGGCATGGGCTTGTTAACCAAGGAAGCAACCAGTGTCCGTCTTGGGGTTTTGTTAGGACTGCCAAGAGGAACTGCTGTCTTGGCTGAGGTTATGAAGACGCCAGACATCTGAAGCTGCTGGGTGGCCACTTCTCTGTCACACAGAAGAAGTGTCCCTGGCGATGAAAACAGCCCGGGAGGGGTGCAAAACAGAGACACAGGGCGATCCCGACTCTACACCAGCATCAAGCATGTGGGAAGCTGTGGCGCTTCCACCGGACTTCTCAGCAGGACGCGATGACAGACATCCCCACCGCGGGAGCCACTCACAATGCAGAGCGCGCTGGCGGATGCAGCGACTGCGTCCTTCCCATGGAATCCCCCTCTTAAATCAGCTTTTTCTACATTGGGCCTTTTGACCGTTACATTTCCTCTCCAGATCTACGGTCTCCGAATGCTAGTGCTGAGCGTGTGCTGCTTTGCCTTATCTTACCTGGGGTGTCTCTCCGTGAGCACAGCACTTTTAGCACCATTTTGGAAAACTCCTCTGATGGTTCCTGGCACAGGATCAGCTGTGAAAGGCTGTCCCAGGTAGATGCCCTCCGTCTGCAATGATAAAGTCGTTCACTGAAAAGTGGATTAATCGTGTTTCGTCTCTGTGCACACCCAAGTATGACTTCATTTTTTACGAGGGATAAAATGATCCTGCTTCTTTTCCTGGCTTTATTAGTGGCATTAGATTTAATTAAGTGCTCTATTAAATGGTTCAGGGAAATATAAAAGGCTTTTTCTTGAACTGTGACTAAAGAAAGCCCAGCTACTTCCTGGTATGTACTCTTTGCGACGGGGCTCCCAGAGAGCAAAATCCCAACAGAAACACAAAACACAAAAGCATATTCCTTTAGCTCGGCTTCTCACGTACACAAAATTCAACGAACCGGATTTTTGAAGTTCCTGTCTCGGGTTAATACGAGTAGCATCACTTCACCCGTGATCAGAGGAAGGGGGAAAAAGCGAGTTTAAAAAAACTACTTTATTTTTTATTTCTTTTTCAGTTACATACTTTTAAACAGGGATGTATTTCATTATTCAGACATTCAGGCAATGTTGACTTCATTAGTGTTGACAGAAAAGAAGCATAAAAATGCAAAACATTGTTGGCTTAACCTGAACATACCTGCGTTACCTATTACTGACCAGTTTGTGTTGCCAAAAGACTTATTCCTTGGCATTAAAATGGAGCACTTAAAAATATTGCTAAAAAGCAAATGTCTACACACTGGTCTTTGCAGCAAATAAGGGTATTTATACTTTTAAAATATTTTAAGTCCATAATTGGATTAATATACACACCTTCTTATGTATAAGGAGTTCAGATCATATAAACACTGTACAGTCCAAAAACCCTACTGAGAATAAAACTAAATAGGCTTATGATAAGAAATACAGATATCGCATGTATTTACAAATATCATAGACACACAAATTTGGTCAAATACTGTAAAGAAAAAAAGTGGTTTCACATTATAATGGCCAAAACATCCATCTACCTTGCTCAAGGCAAACAAAAAATGAAAACTCAGTATGTAACTCCTGTCGTTTAAGACATCCTGACAGTATACAAACAGAATGGAAACTGCTGACCAAATTATATAGCAAATGTCTTCTAGGCTGAGCGTGGGCCTTTAAAATCAAGAACTTGAAAAGACCATTGAGACGATTCAGAGCAACGGTGATAAACAATGTCCTGATTTGCAGTATTCATATGGGCGCCTAATTCATCAAAAAGCAACACGCTGAACTTTTTGGCTAATAAGAAAAATAAGTTACAAAGTACAATTAAATCCCTGCAAATGCAATAATGAAGTCAAAAATGTAATTTATTTCCTTTAATTACACATTTCAAATGTTACCTTGAGACAACAAAAATAAATAAGCACGCCAGAAGGCATGCACTTAAAGACAAAGAAAGGGCTACGTGGAAAGAGCAAATAACAATCTTATCAATGACAGGTGAATGCGAGATTTGGAAAAACTCGTTCTCTTTCTAGCCAGTCTTTTTGTCTTAACTCTTCTTGAAGAATCTGGCTTGTAGAATGAGACCAAAGAATACCTGTGTCTTTATGGCTTCAAACAAACTAGACTTAAAGAGTGGCATGGGTTTCCTTTTTCTTTACAGAACTGTTACTTTGTTCATATCCAGGCACTTCAAAAGACTATGGAGGCAAAGCACCTGACCCATCCTTTCCAAAATAGTTTTCGATCATCAAAATTACACTAAAAAGTAGGAAAATTCCAGAGAACCAGCAAAGTTGAATACAAGAGACTAATGTGCACAGAGAGCAAGAGAGTGACCCAGTTTTTATTGCTGGGGGTCTTTTCTTTTTCTTCTTCTTTTTTTTTAATCAAAAAGCAAATAATTAATAGACACCACTGCATGGCACATCCAAAATTTTCTGCTTAGGGAGAATGTAATCATTCAGCAGTAGGTTTCAGTGGGATCTCCTCAGACTTCAACCTTACACATTGCAATGAGATTCACATTGATTTCTTCTCCTTAGTGTATTTAAAACAAAAACAAAAAAAACTCCAACATATTTCATTTCTCAAAGTATTCATTTCTTGCTGTCTAACATACATTATTATCTGGAAGCATAAAGTTACATTATACAAATATTTTGCTTTTTTTTTTTTTTTTTTTTTTTTTTAAAAAAGCGCTTCTGCCACTTGAGCAACACTGTACTTGGCGTCGTGGGGCCACAAAAGCAGAGCTCCTACCTAGCGTGATTCGTTCAACTGCTACCATCTGCTGAACCCATAGAGCTTTTCCCTCAGTACCTCTGGGCAGTGACTGTACCATGATTTCACAGAGAGAATGTTAGTATGACTCATGAATAGCAGTACCATCAGTAATACTGAAATCAATGCAGATGTCACACAAGAAATGAACTTCTCACAAAATAACTTCTTTTACATATTTGGGCGACTGCGTCTTCTCTGTTGCATTATTCCATTGGGGAGAAAACTCCTGCTTGATTATGCTCTTACAGAAGTTATAAAAAAACCAGATCAGGCATGTGACTGATACTGAAGACACTGTACTGCTTTCTACAATAGGAGGAGAGCTTCTGGAAAATGTCCTCAGAACGGTATCCGTCAGTACCACCTCCTTGGTCCGTTCCATTCATTGATGGGCAAAGCACTCATGTTTGGACAAAACTTTAAAGCTTCCATAAAAGTTAAATTAGAAAAAAATATGAATGTAAGACAACCACAAAATGAAGTATGAAAGTATGACATTTTGTTTCTAAGAGTGAGTCCTCGAAAATGTATGTGGTCACTACAGAGATGATTTTAATCACAAGACAGCAGATGAACACGTAAGTAACTCCCCATGATCTGTCTGTGTCCAGAGTCATTTGTGACGCTGTATGGTTTTCCTTTTCCTTCGTTTGAAAAAACAGCAGCACCTGCAGACGGAGGGAAACACTTCTTGTATTATAAAGGTACTAGAGGGTCACAGAGTAAAGGCTGAGTTTAGCGTATTAATTTCAATGATCGTAAAAAGCAACAGGCTAATGCAAGATACACGATGAACATGCCAGGGAAGCAAATATATTAGTGAACCTAGGGCAGAGTTATTACTACTGCGGAACCAACGTGCCTTTTAGAAGATAGGCAGACAGTCTATAGGCAACATTACAAGAAGCCACTAAATTGGAAAGGCTCTGCATCAAGACTCACTGAGCAACTAGAGAATTCTGAATGCTCACTGACCCACCATCTTTTACTCTGAATACTTATTAACCTCTGGCAGGGGCGTGCTTTATAAAATTCATCTTACACGTTCTCTCCCTTTATTCCTGATATTTGTATATGATTATTAAAGTCACTGTCAGAAAAGCAATAATGATCCTAATACTGAGGATATGGTTTTCGCCAAGAATGAGATTCCAAGAAGAAAAAGAGAAAGCCCAAACAGACTCTCTTCAACAAACCTTCTCCACCACATTTACGAACTGGAAGAGAGAAAAGGCATTAACTAACATGTCAAGACAGGCACTTTTTAATTCTTTAAGGGTCAAGGTCAAACCGATCCTAAGTTAATTAAAGTAAAAGCTGCGCTTAACATTAAAAATAGCATAATCAAGGTGATTTAATTCTGCAGTCTATGAGGGGAAAGCATACGGAGTTTCATTCTTAAGTTAAAAAAAAAAAAAATCTAGAGATGATGCCTAAGAGACCTGATTTTTTCCATTTTAAGTTCTCCTAGTCATGAAAAGATGAAACACACGCAGCACGTGGGGAGTGATGGTGAAGCTGGTACCAACTCACAGGTAGAGGAGAATCACTGAGCAGAAACTCACACCAAAATATATACACATGCATACATCTATTCTAAAAGTCCGGCATTCCTTCAAAAACAGGTCTGGCTCTTCTCCCCTTCCACACTTAAGGGAAAGTCCCTCTCTCAAAACGTGACGAAGACAGGCGACACACAGAGGCTCTCTCCTCTTTTCCATCAGAGTCTAATGTGTGTGCATATGTAAATCCTGTCTGTAATTAAAGAAATATCTATATACGTGGGGATTCAATCAACAAAATGCAGCCAATTCAAAGCTTGTAGAGAACGTGACCTTCTAACAATGTTCCTCTAATTCTTACCAGCCCGCCTGCAAAGAAGGATATTAAATGAGTAATTTCAAGCTAAGCATAAAGACCACCCTAGCTTCAAGTGTCCTCTCCAGCAAAAGACTGTGGAAGATGAAATAACTGTTAGATACCTTTTATGTCTTTCTGTGAAAGAAATGTAAACAGAAACCCAGCCTGTCCATCTAAATTACATAATCTCTCCACCCACATTATCATCAGTCCAAAGTAATTTCAGACCATTTATTGTGATTTATGCTATGACTATGAAATCACTGTGGGGCATTCGAAACCAAATTACATGACTGGATTTTTTAACCCCATTCAAACAGCACAGAATGATTAGACCATGGAGTGTGAATAAGTCAAACCTTTATATGTCAGCTGCCACAGACGCAACTGGAATCTGTGCAGTTATCAATCGTTATGATTTTTACTCTTACTATGGTGATCACCAGAACAACCCGAAACAAATTATTCAATCAAGGGCCTTGAAGAGAGCTACTTCTGTGAAAGAAGCCTCTGGGTACAATAGCTTTTTCTGGATTTATAAAAACAAGTCAACTTTACTTACTTTAGTTACTTTACAACTAACTGTCAGTTACCTAAATACTTTCTCAAATCTGTTATATAAATTTTCTAAAACAGTGAAACAAAATATTATTTAACTCAGATTTTAAGAGATGAAGACCATTGTTCAAAAAAAAGGAAACCTTTCAATAAAAGGATAGTCATAAAATGTTCACATTGTAAAAAAAAAAAATTAATTGGTATTTAGAAGAAACAGGCCAAATATTTAGAATATTAAATTTAAGAATATGACCACATTTTAATGGAAATTTGTTATTTAATACAAAATTCTATTAATAATGTTCACTGTTTCCAACTACTGTATTTGTGTCTTTAAATTTGAAACTACAATCTTTTAAGTTTTTCTGCTGAAAAGGTGTTTTAATAAGTGTTTATTAAAAAGTGTTTCAGGGGCGCCTGGGTGGCTCAGTGGGTTAAAGCTTCTGCCTTCAGCTCAGGTCATGATCCCAGGGTCCTGAGATCGAGCCCCGCATCGGGCTCTCTGCTCATTGGGGAGCCTGCTTCCTCCTCTCTCTCTCTCTGCCTGCCTCTCTGCCTACTCGTGATCTCTGTCTGTCAAATAAATAAATAAAATCCTTTTTTTTTTAAGTGTTTTAATAAGCCTTTTGGAACAGGGAATTTAATGTAATACATGTTTTGATCAACAAGTTCCAGATTTTCCACACTTATGTTAGCAATTCACCTTGTCTGGCTTATTTTTCTAGTATCATCAATCTGCTTTCCAACTCAAGACAGGTAGTCTGTCCTATTTCTTAGGTCATCTTTCCTTCAATTCTGTATTATTTAACACAGAAAAGCAGTCTAAGCATTTACCTGAGACTAAATAAAACTTTCAAATGAACCATGAGTATAGAAGCCTTTTAATTAAAAGGCCACCTTAAAAAAGACATCTATTTGTTAGAAATAAACCCACCAAATAAAGAGTACATACACCCTTGAAACAGATTTGACAGAGAAGCTGGCATGCTATTAAATGGACAACCACCAGAGGGCAGCATTGCTCTAAGCAATACAAATGCATCCACATAAAGGAGAGATGCTCTCAAAATAGACTATAGTTATCAAAAGAAGAAAATTGTGGCTGGTTTCTTAAAACTCATTACCAAAGCAGGTGATTTACAGCCTGTGATTCAGAAATCATACCAACTGTCCTCCATCTAAAGCAAGGCTGCTTCCACATGGCCATTGTGTCACATGACCCTTTTACGCTCCTCTCAGTCCTCAGACTAATATGAATTTATCTTATTTATTTACTGATTATCTCCTCCACATAAAAAATAAGCTTCGTAAGGGCTTTTGCACAGATCCATCCCACAAACGGGCACACATTTGGGACTCATTTAATATATACTGAATAAATGGATGATTTGCTTCCTAAGTGCAACTCCTAGAGTAAGAACCTAGTCAAAAGGTTCTTACTACATTATACCCCATGTTCTAAAGCTGGAGTTCTTACCTCGGGCCCACAAGCCCTAGGGAAATCTCACAAAATGCAGATCTGAGAGCCTGTGGAAGCATTCCTAGAGAAAATCAGTTTGCATCCGATTCTTACAGGAGTCTAAACCTCAGAAGCCCTGCTCTGCCGACGTGCACCTGTCAGGCCTCCCCTCCGGCTTCTCCATTTCCAGCGAGTCCCAGTCCCAGGAGCTGTGAGCTGAGCACTGCACATCCCGAGGGCCCACCACGTCATCAACTTACATGAATGTGGGCCATGTGTAAAAGGAAACAAGGTAATTCTAACATGTGGCTCAAGTCAAACGGGAACAGAAGTTATTGATAACAGTAACCAAATGATAGCAAAAGGTGCAGCAACGAGCACAGATCACTACATTCAACTAGCTGGTCTTAGAAAATCACCCACACCTTTAAAATTTTTAGACACATTTTTCTCCAAGCTGCTCAGTGGCGGCATTTACTTATTTGTTAGTCCATGCCTCATTTGGGGTCTCTTCAGATCTGGACTACTGACAACCCTGGGGAAACTAATCAAGCTGGCCAGACACTTAATCATGTTCTTCTCAGTGCTTTTCCTTCTCTTGGCTCTTTCTTGATTATGCCTATGTGTTTCCAATAAGCCGGTATGCTCTCACAAGTCAGGTTCATGCTTCTGACATGATTCTGTAGCTAGCCTAAAAGCTTTGAAGCCACAGCCCCACTTTTTTTTTTTTTTTTAAGATTTTATTTATTTATTTGAAAGAGAAAGTGAGAGAAAGAGTGCATAAGCAGAGGGGAGGGGCAGAGAGAGAGGGAGAAGCAGGCTGCTCACTGATCAGGGAGCCCAATGCAGAACTCAATCCCAGGACCTTGAGATCATGACCTGAGCCAAAGGCAAACACTTAACTGACTGAGCCACCCAGGTGTCCACCACAGCTCTGCTCCTAAATTCTTTCCAAATAAATAGTAAATCCTGTTTCTGATGAACTTGAGGGCTGTTGCTGTAAATACTGTTTAGGTGCTAAACAGGAAATCATAATGGATCAAAGTCCTCAACTATGTCAAAAACATACAGAAGAGCCGAGGCTTTTCTAAGAGATTCTGCACCATTTCCCCTTCATCCATTGCCTCTTTTCCTGCCTCTAGGATTTGACTGTCTTCCTGGATGCCTGTCTTAGACCTCCTTCTCACATACCTGAAACTGACACACGTGTCTCCATCTGGCGGAAGTTCCTATGTGTCCTTTCTCTAATGACTCACTGGCTCCACCTTCAATAGAGAGACTGCTCGAAAGGTGCTGGGCCCTACCCACCTGGGACTCCAGAGCCTTGCTTCTCCTTATCTAGGTTACTGGGCATACAAAAAACAGCTTTTAAGACATCTGTCTTTAATTCTTTGACAAAGGATTTGCCCCCTTCAAGTCTATACATGCAAATGTAACTTTGTATCTCTGGACATCTTGGTATAAAAACCCCGTAATTTATCAGTCAAGCAAGAAGAGTTCAGACAGAGGCCCAAGACCTTCCCATAACTAATCCAACTGGAAACCTGCACATCCAGCCTCATCTTCAATTTCTTCCTCTCAATCCACATGCCATTAGTCTCTCTAGTCTGAAATGACATTCAAAGTTGTCCCATCCTCTCATGCTGGCTTACTTCAGAAAGTCTTGCCTCCCTCACTGCTAAGAGCCTCTTAACAGACACCCAGGCTAAGTGTCCTCCTCTCTCCAATGCGCCATCCCAACTCACCCCCACAGAGAGATGGCCTTGCCCTCCGCCTTTTAAATCTCACCACTGTTCGCCGCAGGCTAGGGCATTAGGTCCACACGGCTCTTATAATTTGGTTCTGATCTATTTCCCTCTCCTCTTAGTCTCATCTTGCATCAAGCTGCCTTTCTAGGCAGTCAGTACTACAGAAGGGAGAGAAGGAGGGAGGATGAATCGATTTCATGTCATCTAATGAACCCCAGGAAATGACACAGGCCACAGAAGTGCTGCCAAACTATCTCAAGGCTCAATCTGATTATACCACTTCTTGGCTTAAAACCCACAGCTTGCTTGCTTGTGTTGAGAAGGATCATGTCTTTATTGTTGCTGTTGTTCACCTGCCTACTAAAGCCCTTTGCGACTGGGCACTTAGACTATCTCAGCTCCCAGGGGGATGCATTCGTGTGTATGCGCGCACGCACGCACACACACACAGTATACGAGTGGATCACTTCTCAGACCTGCCTCACTCTGTCCCTGCTCCTATGTTGTTCAGCCACTTCTCTCGGACTCCTGCACCCAACTCTTCAGCCAAGCCTGCTCACCTTGGAGAACTAGGGCAAATGTACCCTGAGCCGTGAAGATATCTCTGATCTTCCATGTTCCGGTCTCTCAAATCCAGTCACACTGTATCCTATGAGCTAATCCTTTAATAGCTGGTTTTAGACCAATGACTCTCAATCCTGGTTGCTCCTCAGAATCAGCTTACAAGCTCTTTAAAATTACTGTCAAACAGGGGCGCCTAAGTGGCCCAGTCAGTTAAGCACCTGCCTTTGGCTGGGGTCAGGATCTCCGGGTCCTGGGATCGAGCCCCACGGCAGGCTTCCAGCGAGGAGTCTGATTCTCCCTCTGCTTACTCATGCTCTATCTTTTTAGAAGTAAATAAAATCTTAAAAAAAAAAAAAAATACTGTCAACCAGACCCCAACCACAGAACAATTAAATTGGAAACTGACAGAGCTCAGCCTAAGTGTTAGCGTATTTTTGAAACTCCCCAAATGCTTGTGACTTGAAGCCAGGACTGGGGGTCACTACGTGAAAGTTACTTGTGCACTTTCTATCTTTTCTAAGAGAGTGCAGGGGCCTTGACTTTTCGTAATCAGTAACTGTTCAGTAAATGGTGGAAAGGGGACACAAAGAGAAATAAAGGTGAAAAAAGATAATTACAAACTACCTTAAAACTCTGTAACTATACCAAAGGAAGCTTTGTTTTCCTAAATTCCTGGAAGGAATAATGAGGGTGATACCCCTTGTGTCAACTGTCTTGAAAAAAATTCTTAGGCACAGTGAGGAGAGCAAAATCTCATTACTAATGAATGAGCCATTTTATATGCAGGACAAGAGAACATTTTCCATCACTTGAAAATGATATATCAAGCCCTATAAGGTACTATTCTAGGAAGCCTGCGCCTCTAAAATGTCCAATGTGAAATACATTATAATTAATGGGGTGGGGTGAAAGGGGCCTCCACCAATTACAGGTAAGAAGAAAGAGAGGGAGTTGGAAACCCATTTTGAAAGGGAATTCTTGTCAAGTTCCTAGAAAACTATAAAAAGGTGGGAGAGAGAAGAGAAGCAAGCGTAAGATGCAATTTAGGAGAAAACCACACTCACAGCCCCTCACCACAGACTAAGAAGGTATGAGGAATGCACTAACAAACTTGCAGGAATGTGAGAGTCACCCTGATAAAAGGGAAAGCAAATGCGATGTGCTGAAAGTTTTTAACCAGTGACGAGGCAGGAAAGGTGGGAGGATTTCTGTAACCCATCTGGAATCGGGCTTTACCGAAATTACAGGTTGCTATCCATGTTAAAAAACAAACAAAGAAACAAACAAAAAAACCCAGCTCTATTAAAAGAGAATTAAAGTTATCAGAAAATTAATGCTTTTAAAGTATACAATTTAGTGGTTTTTAATACATTTACATCCCTCACCACTATCAAACTTGAAACCACTTCCATCACCCCCCAAAAGAAACCAGAGAACCTAATCTACTAACAGCTTCTCCCACCCTCCTTTCCCCTGCCCTAGGCAATAACTGGATCTTTCTCCCTGTGGTGGCCTATCCTGGATATTTCACATCAACGGAATCATAGAACACATGGCCTTTTGTGCGGGGCTTCTTTCACTTAGCATGTTTTCCACCTCATTATTTTACACTGTTGAGTAATACTCCACTGTATAGATACACCAAATGATTCAGTCGTAATCATTTAGTAGTAAGTCACTGAGGCCTACTGTTTTGGGTACCCGGGATCTGAAGATGAAAAGGCCTTGCATACAAGAAATTCAAAAAGTTTCACGAAGTGGGACAGAGCTAAGGAGGATAACATACCAACGGCAGACTTAAGGAACCCAGGGAGTATAGGGTTCGGAACAGAAAACGGGGCAGGGCAAGAGAGGCAGGGGTTGGACTACAAGAGGCACGAAGGGCCGTGGGCCGCACCAAGGAATCTGGACTCGAGGCTCCAGGCTATGGAGGACCTCTCCTTCAGGAACAGCTTTACCACCACATGTGCTTTTTTCTCATCTTCCAACACCTATGATGAGAAACCCAAGCCCACAAACACCCACACCATCCCAACTAAATAAATCAGTATGCCATTCTGCAAAGCCACCTCCACAAAGCATTCCCTGATCAGCCTGTCCGTCAGTCATCTTGCTCCTTAGATCTCAAATGTTTTTTCCTACCTTTCCATGGTAGTTACCATATGCAAATTATGAACGAGTACTAAGACACAGCCACCTTCTCTATGGTGTGCCATCTACTGAAGGGTTGGGGCAGGTTCAGACTATTGGTGAAATCCAGGTGGCATAAGTGGGGGTCCGAAAAAATGGGAAAAGGGAACGGAGTTGGCTCAAAGCAGGTGTCCAGGACAAAATGGACACAGAAGAGCCAGTCTCAGCAAAGAGTCGGGGTATGGAAGTAAAAACAGGGGACACCTGCTGGAAGGACAAGGCTGAGGAGAACAAAGACTGGAGAGGTCATTGGCAGCGGGGAGACAAACAGGGTGGGACTAGCTCCCAAGCACCTGCCATGTGCAGTACTTTATCACAGTTAATTTCCTCAATGACTTGCGGAGCGGATATTATGATCCTCAGTTTAGAGAAAGAAACCAAGCTTGAAGAAGGTAACTCTAAGTGGAGGAAGCAGGGTTCTTCAACCCACGCTGGGTACACAGGACGTGCACGCCCTGCTCGGCCACATCACTCTGGGAACTCCGCGTACAACTGCACAAGCAGACATCAATGGTGGTATTTGCTCTCACTGTAAAAATGCCCGAGTACAGAGCTGATTGATTACATCCTCAAATCCACTAGGTCACGCTGTCAATAAATTCCACAAAGTGATAAAAATGGATATTTGACCACTGCTCTTTAAAGAGAAATCTCCCCAACAAAAGTCTCTGCATCTTACGGGCCCGCAAATGAGCATTATTTTGGAATTTATGTAAAGTTTCTTTTGGATAGGAGTAGAATGTTCCAAAGTGTGCTAATAAGCAAAGCAACTTTCTCTGTTCACTCCCAGGCTCACTCAAGATTTGTCCTGAAACTGAGAGGAACAATATGGAACGTGGCATTTCAACTCGAGGCAGATACCAGAGAGGAGCTTAAATCCAACACTGACTCGACTTAAGAGGAATCTTTTTGACACAGTATCTGCAATGAGCAGGACCTTCTTAGGTGAGGACTTCTGTAGCGCTCTCTCACTACCGTTAATCCTGAGTTTATCAGCGTACCCCACGTGCACTCAATTGCGATGCAAGTAATCAATGAAATACTCTCTCAGTGATACTATCGGGGTGGGTGGGGGTGAAGGACCTGCTGTGTGTATTTAATCATCTTTCCAACAGGGAAAAAGAGAGCTTAAAACTCAAAAACCTTTCTATTTCGAATAGCAAACGAAGCCTCTGGGTTACAGAACAAACGCACGAGCACAAGCAGAGTGGGCGTTAACCAGCGACTCACTTAAAAGGTGCCCCCAAATCTATGTCAGTTGAACAAAAAGAAAAAAGGTGCAGCAGGCAAAAGAGCTCCTCAAACAATTATTTTTTGCTTTTCAGACCTAATGTAAATGACACCAAATATTTTTGAACAACTTCGACCAACTGTAATTTCTAGGTTGAAAGTTTTTGGTTGTTTTTTTTTTTTTAAGCGCAAAATGATGCTAAATCTTCGAAATTACAGTCAAGGGAGCTATTTCTGCCTGCCTACACTTGAAAACTCACCACATGTTCAACACTTTCTGGCAGCTATACACAAAAACAAAAACAAAAAACAAAAAAGGAGAGAGAGAGAGAAGGAAAGGGAGGGAGAGAAAGAGAGAGAGAGAAATCATCAGATGTAGCCCACAATGAAAAATCACATTGTTTTTATGCTTACTTTTTTTCCCAAGAAGCATTATCATTTACATTCACAGAAAAACTACTTTAAAACTAATAATTATGCATGCAGCATACTATAAAATTAATATTTATTCTTTTTTTTTCAGATAAACAATGCATACTTTTTATTTTTTTTAATTTTATTTTTTAGTGTCCCCAAATTCATTATTCTTACCAAAAAAACTGAGCATCTACCCTACCAAAATAATTTTCATGCATCAATACTCCTATAAACAAAAAGCCAAAACTGCACTGTTACTTCTAAGAAATTGAGCCCAGTTTTTAAATAATTATTTTTGTATTACAAAATATATACTGAAACACAGCGCTACTTTATATGAAGTGGTCGACTGAAAATATCACTTGTTTTGCATGCACCAATTCCCTGAAAAAACTTCCTGGGATAACTGTACATGACTATAAATCTCAAACATGCACAACTGAAGCACAAAAAGCTACTAAAAAAGTCAAGCAAGTACATACTTGGTTTCATCCATCACTTCTACTTCCGTAGGGGCTGTAATGGGTGCATTGGAACGTCCTGCAGTAGGGTCATCTGTGTTCAACTCTCCATTTGTAGAGCTTACAACCTGCCAAAAAGAAGAAAATATATATATATACAAAGTAACAGGTTATATACAATGATAAATATTAAGGTAAAATTAAGGTTAATTTAGAAAGTTAATATGCAGAACATAAAACAATTAGTATGTAGTTGAGCTGTTTGTAACTGAATATAGTAACAGGTCTAATATTTTATTAAAATTCAAGGTCATCCAATATTTGCCTTTCAACTTCCTTTTCATCTTGAAATTTCTGTCTTGTCTCTTTCCCTCTGCTGTGTAAGACTAACTCCTACACTTTGGTGTCAAATCAGCTCCCCAAGGTGTGCCCATCTTGCATTGGCACCTTACTACGTCACGAATTATCTCCCATGCAAACTTCAATCCTGCTCCTTCCGACGGATTTCGGTGTGTAACCAACCTCCTATCTCCCTCTCATACTGCTCATTTGTCTACCCATTTGTTCACGCTCAGATCCTGGAATCACAGTGATTCCTCTCTTTGACTGAAACCCCACACCTCGTCTGTCAGCAGGGCTGATTAAATTCCACCCTCAAAACTCATCCCCAATCTAATCAGTTCTCCCACTTGTATTATTACCAGGACTTTAGTTCAAGCCACCATGATCTCTTGTGTGAATAAGAGCAACAAACTGTAAACTGGTCTTCTGCTTTCACCTGCCCCCGCCCTCCATGAATGTACTGTCCACACAACAACCAGAGCGCTCATTTTAAGACAGAAATTAGACCATGTATAATTAACCTGCTCAAATCTCTCCAAGTATCAACTTCCCATTTCACTTAAAATAAAGATCCATATTCTTGCCCCAATTTACAAAGCCCCACAATATCTGGATTCTGCCCACCCCTCCAATCCCATACTACCTTCTCTGATGATCACTAGCCTCCACCCAGTACGTCAAACTTATTCCCACCGTAAAATCTTGGCATTACCTATACCCGATGCCTGAACTAACTCTCTTCCCGCTGACTGGCTATATTCTTCTCTTTTAGATTCTCAGAGAACATCTCAAAAGCAGTCCTTTTCCATCATACAATCTGAGACTTCCATACAGGACATCCTATGGCATGTTATACTCTACTGTTAACTCTTTGTATGGCATTTATCCAGATAGTTTTCTGGACTGTGTTTCTTGACACCCACTCTCGCCTACTCCTGCTCCATGACAGCAAGGACTTTGTACTATTCCCCCACCGTCTCTCCCTACTAACCCTGGCAGAAAACAGGCAATCAATAAATATTTGTTGAAATAAATGAATGCATGCATGAGTGAAATCCTAAAACAAAATAAAAATCATAGCAAAATTCCCACATTCTCCCAAATCCTCTTTGTCCAATAAAGTCACCTCACTGTCCTATTTCTTGCTTTCCCCTCAACTTCTCAAAACAACAGTCTTAACTTAACACCTGCATTTTTATAAAATTTTCCACTCATTTATTCCTTAATCCCTTGCAATCTGTACTCTGTCGCTACATCGGAATTCTAAGTAAGCATACTCTTGCAGGTTACCAACATTTCCTAGAAAAATATATTTGGTGGCCTTTGCTTTCTCCTCATTTTCCTGTACATTTCTGTATCACTTAGCACCAGCTGATACTCTGGAGGAGACGGGTCTAGAAACAACGCCTAGCTCTAACGCTCACCCACCGTGTGACCCGGGAAAGATACCGCATCGCGCTAAACCTCGGCGTTCTCAACCAGGAAACGGCAAACGGTAGTACCCGTTGAACAAGACTGAGAGGAAGAAACAGAAATCAGTGTGTAAAGGGCAGTGACTGGGCTATTCTAAGAGCTCCAGGAATTGTCGCCCTTGTTCCTCAGCCAGTTTTGCCCGCATTCAGGGCTTCAGCTACAGCCTCTACATAAAGGACTTGCTGAGCCCCACCGCTCACCCACATGCCCACCTAGGCCACATGTGGTACCTCAAACTCATTACTTCCAAAACCGAATTCCTCATACTCCTCTCAAATGTGTCACTCCTCCTATCTATGGTTCCAATTCCTAGTAAACCCTACCATGTTCCCAGACCTCCAGGCTCAAAACGTAACAATCAGCTCTGCTGCTTTCCCTATCTGAGCTCATCATAAGGGAAAAAAAAAATGCTAATATATCAAAAGCCTGGAGAGCAGACTGACAGCTGAATACTAGACTTAACAGGTCCATCTACAGAACCCCATTTTACTGAAACCTAACTAATTCTGACATTCTTACTGAGAGGCCACAATGTGCCAGGCACTGTCCTGGGAACCTAGAAAACCACAAGAAAAACACCCTGGTCCTTGTGGGCCTGATATTCCAGTGCACAGAAACAGGCCTCTCACCCCACAACTCCAAGAAAAGTCACTAGAAGTCAACCAACAAATCTAGATGAATGTAGGATTATAGAGGCTGAGTTATCTGTACCCCATGAACAAGTACTTAGAAATAAACACTGCAAATGTGCCCACAGCTGAAAACACACAGAACGGCCTTGATCCTTGTCAGAGCAACCAGGCCAACAAGAGTAATACCCCTGGGTCTCAGTCTGCTGCTCTGCTTCCTCCTTTCTGCCATTCTACTGAGTTCCATGTCAATTTTTTCTCTTTATTTCTCCCTCTTTCTGAAAACATTTAACAATCATTATTGGTTCTAATTATCAAACTTAATTTGGTTCTTTATTCTTAATTTTTAAAATGTCAGCACTCCTCCACTGTTTTGGAAAGGAGCTACAAAGCAGGATTCTTATCTTATACTTTTGTATTCGCCACTATCTGTAATTAGCAGAATGCTTTGCATGCAGAAGATAAACAGCTCATGCAACAATTTCCATTGCTCTTCCCTCAACATGATATTCACAGGTTTCTTTTCCTCCTTCGAGTTCAGTGGCCCAAGAGAGCTGGAGGGACCCCATCTCAAACTACAGGCAGCTCCTTGAACATGCCTCCCCTTATGTTCAGCAGCATAACTGAAAATTCAAAACCCAGGTGTTCTAAACTTCCAGCAAGAGCAACCGTATGAACACGGTAATTATACAATCTGACTTATTTCAGTTCACACAAAGTCACACCTGACTTTAATAAGCTTTATTTTAGTAAAATGTTTCAAATCTCATTTTGCCTCATTGATCAGAACCAGACTAGAATGAAATAATATCTTCATTTATGTATTTTTTTAATGTAATTTCTCTTTGGTTTCCCAGATTCCCTAACTCTCTTGAGTAAAGGCTAAAATCCCAGGCTAAGAATAGAATCGATGTGGTAAAAGAGTTCTCTTGTAAAAGTGGCCTACCTAATACTGGTGACACGAGAGTATATCAGGGCATTAAAATTGTTTTCACTTAAGAAAACTAGTATCTTTTAGGAAAGGGATTTTACAAGAAAAAACAAAGACAAAATATTATAAATAGCACATGTCATTACATTCCTAGAAACCTAAATCAATCAAACAAATATATACAAATTATTTTTATAAACCAAATTCTAAAAGAATGATTCCATTTAGGTAACATCTCTAGAATTATAACTTGAAGTAGAACATAGGAGTCTCCAAAATATTGGTGTGCATCAGCTAATTTTTCTAATGACAGTATCCAAAATGGACGGCTGCTCAATGTCCACAACAGCCAAACTGTAGAGAGCCGAGATGCCCTTCAACAGATGAATGGATAAGGAAGATGTGGTCCATACACACAATGGAATATTACTCAGCCATCAGAAAGGATGACTACCCAACCTTTTCATCAACATGGCTGGGACTGGAGGAGATTATGCTGAGTGAAATAAGTCAAACAGAGAAAGTCAATTATCATATGGTTTCACTTATTTGTGGAACATAAGGAATAGCATGGAGGACATTAGGAGAAGGAAGGGGAAAATGAAGGGGGGAGAGATCGGAATGGGAGATGAACCACGAGAGACTATGGATTCTGGGAAACAAACGGAGGGTTTTAGAAGGGAGGGAGTAGGGGGAACAGTTTGCCTGGTGATGGGTATTAAAGGAGAGCACAGACTGCATGGAGCACTGGGTGTTATATGCAAAAAAATGAATCATGGAACACTACATCAAAAACTAATGATGTACTGTAGAGTGACTAACATAATTAAAAAAAATTACAGATGCTTTGAGGTTTGACATTTAAATTAAAAATTTAGGTGTTTTACAGGGTTTTTGTTCTTATTTTTCTTAAAGAAATTTTCTCCGATATTCCCACTTTGACAAGAAACTTAGTACAGTTTTTATTTTAAGATGTCCAAAAAAAAACAAATAAAAAGGCATCCAGATGCGGTGTTAGTTTTAGTGTACCAGAGTTTAAGAGTAGGGGGCCTTGAACCTGCAGCTAATGATGGGAGAGAAATGATGGTTCACTTGATGGCTGCCAGCCATGTCTAATTCCAAAAGAAGTCATTCGCAAAGACTTCTGAGTACAAAGATAACACATGGTATCTTTGTAGTCAATGATTTTATAAGGCCAATTAATTTACTTTCCACATACAATGAATTCATACAAATTAGAGTACCACCTTCCTCATTTCCACATGAATTATTGAAAGCATACTACACCAAGTACACAGTAGAGGCTCACTATGTTAGTTAACCAGATCTCCTTCTATCCAATAAATACACTAGAAATACTAAAATGTTATCTATCTTACTTATGCCCTAAGCTTTTTCTAAGAGCCATCTATAAGAAAGCACACTAACAAATGAGATATAGGTAAGAGTAATTCCCGAAGAGTCTTCTGGACCTGTGCTAGGGTTCCCATGTATCACAAGAAACCAACTTTCTTACATATTCTAAAACCCAGGGGAACCTGGGCGGCTCAGTCAGTTAAGCGGCTGCCTTTGGCTCAGGCCATGATCCCAGGGTCCTGGGATCAAGCCCCACATCGGGCTCCCTGCTCAGTGGGAAACCTGCTTCTCCCTCTCCCTCTGCCTGCCTCTCTGCCTCCTTGTACTCTCTATCTCTTTGTCAAATAAATAAAACCTTTTAAAAATTAAAAAAAAAAAAAAAAAACAACCCAGAGCG